TAGCTTAAAAATACAACTGGGGCTGTGGATGTCAAGTATCTGCTGATTACCGAGGACACAGAAGTAAATGCTTGAGTGATTCTCCTGGAGAATCCAAAATGTGATAAAGGAGTAGATAAAGGTGTCATTATCACTATTAACTTGTGTGTCTGTACTTGAGGACATCTCGAGATACCCCCAACTTGGAAATCGGGAAAATGAGTGCATCTTATTTCTTGAGATCAATACATGTACTATAGTCAACTTTTTTGCTGCTGTGACTAAAAGACCTGGTCAGAAAATTTTAGAGGAGGAAGAGTTTACTTGGGGGCTATGGTTTCAGAGGTCTCAGTTCATAAACAGCTGGCTCCATTCCTCAGGACTCAACTGAGGCAGAACATGATGGCGAAAGAGAGTGGCAGAGGGAAGCAGCTCACAGAATGATCAGAGAGCAGAGAGAGAGACGCCACTCACCAGATACAAAATATACATCCCAAAGGCACACCCCCAATAGCCTGGCTCTCCCAGCCACACCCCACCCACCCTCAGTCACCACTCAGTTAATCCTATCAGGGGATTAATTCATTAATTGGGTTAAAGCTCTTATAACCCAATCATTTCTCCGCTAAACCTTCCTGAATTGTCTCACACGTGAACATTGGGGAGACACCTCACATCCAAACCACAACAACATGACAGCAGCAAAGTCACCTGCTGCGGGCAGATTGTTTCCTAGGCCTGCAGGGATTGCTGATATCCCAATGAAAGATTAAATATCAGTTTGAATTTGGAGGTGGAGGTGGTCACAGTAGGGGTGAGTCATTGAGTTAAACCATGGCCTCTCTGTGGTAGGGAGAAATGATAGCGAACAGACCTGATGTATCATGGCCCTGTTGCCAAGGCATTCCAACAAACTTTGAAGAGTTTGGTCCTATGGAGGCATTGCCCTTTTTGTGGGATTGAATTCTTATTTCCTCCAGCCACTGGTGACTGGGTTTCTTTGGTGCTTACCAGACACGTTATCACTTAGTCACTGACTTTCTAGATAGGACAACCAGGGAGAGTTGAATCTATCGCAAGACTGAAGTTACTATAGTTCCTATGACAGTCATTCCTCATCATCATTTACTAATCATTGATTTGGTTTGATCCACCAGTCTCTAAGGGTTGGGTAACCCGTGTTTACCTGTAACAGAGGGTTCTGTTCTTGATATATGGCTGATCTGATTTTGCTCATGTGTGAATTCAACAGACAGTGAGGGCTTTGAGCTACAGCTATGATAGTCAGAAAACTTTTAGTGTAGCAGGGAAAGCAGAGAAATTGCCACTCTGAGACATTGCTTGGGAGGCTCTACAACTTAATTCATATACTCCATTAACTCTCTGAGTAAAACAGATAACATTTATTATGTGCTTAACAAATATTAGGTATTTTGTTAAGTGCTTTGCATATATACTCTTTCATTTTATACTAACTGTTCCAGGAGGTGTACACATATTTTTATTTTACAGACTTTTTGCACACTAGGAAGCCTATTGAGAACAAGTAACTATTAGATGTGTCATATTCTTGGCCTTGCTGTTAACCAAATACCGTCCATTTAACTATAGTTGATGTGCTGTTTGAATGTATTCCATGGTGGGCTTCACAGTTCAGTCTGGACCACCTCAGTACTAACCCAGCAAAGATGGGTCCCTGAGGGGATCCCAGAAGTAACCAGCTGAATGCTTTGGGGGTGCATGTAGATTAAATGACAACTATTGTATATGTTCTTTGTGTAATATTGGGCTAGAAAAAGCTTCAAAAATACCAGAGAATGTGATTAAGATGCATTTCCTTGTCTCAGCAAACTTAACCTGGCTTAAAAACAAAGATGACTTCTGAGGACCTGATCTACCAGGAAGACTCAGTGGTCACCCTTACTACATCCACGGCTTTGCTCTCCTTCTTTGCTTCCTGTAAAAATGGCTCAGTACTCTAGTTTTTAGGACTGTAAACAGGTGATTAAAAGCTACTAGTAAATTTTAAATGCTTACATTGAACAAGCTTCCAAATCATCAAGCAAATCCTAAAGCAAAGGAGAGAGCCAAGTATGGGAAGGAATGCCAACTGAGCTGGCTTACTTTTGTCTTCTCTGGGATGGGAGTGGGGGGTGGGGGGTTTTCCCTTCAATTGTCTTTGCCACCACTGAACAATAATAGCTCAGTGAAGTCATCATCCAGGTATACACACACAGCTCTTTATGGGTCATTGTGGCTCATGAAGGTGGTGATTTGCAGAAGAAATAATATATATATTTTTTAAATAGAATCCTAAAAACAGAGTTGTCTGGTACATATCAAGTAGTTTTTGAATTGAATGTGGGTGTTTAGTCAGTTCCTATTGCTGTGATCAAAAGGCCTAACAACAACAACCTAGAGGAGGAAAAGTTTAATTTGGTTCACTGTGTCAGAGGTTCAGTCCATGGTCAGCTGACTCTATAGCTCTGGGCCCAAGGTGAAGGGCTTGGTGGAGGAAAGCTGCTCAGGACATTGCAACCAGGAAGCAGAGCAAGATCTCTGCTCATCAAGTGCCAAAGGCACACCTCAGTGACCTTCCTCCTTCAGCCACACCCTTCCTGGCTACAGCTAACACCCAGTTAATCCATTCAAGTGGATTAGTCTACCATTTAGGTTACAGCTCTCATAATCTAATCATTTTACCTCTGAACATTCTTGCATTGTCCCAGGAGCTTTAGGGGAAACCTCATATTTAAACCATAGCAGTAGAAAATGTGTTTTCACTCTTTATTGAGAAGAGTTGTGCGATCAAAACTGCTACCCACCTCCCTCAAAGTGTGAGTTTGTTAATTTAGATAGAAGAGTCTTACTTCTCTTCCTTACAGAGGAGTGTGGATTGATAGTTTTCCTGTATCTCCAGGTATAACCTGTTTATTTCTACAATACAAATTTACTCAAAATTATAACAGTTAAAAATACTCACATTTCACTTTAGCAGGTCTTTTCCCAAGTTACCTTCTCAAAATATTCCCAAGGACCTCTGAGTTTGCTGTGCCTATTCACTGCTTGATCTAGGCACCAGTGGGCAATTGGGTGCATTACACAGGTGGTACATGAATCCTCTGGCCTTTGGACATCCTGAGAGTGAGCCTCAGGGTGCCTGTGGGGTCCCTGTCACTGCCAAGCTCACAGGAACCCTGATACCACTGAGAAGACAGGAGAGGGTGCCCACCAGCTCCCATAGGCTAAGGACTTCACTCCTTGCTTTTGTGCAAATTCCCCTCCCCCAGTCTCACATCTGGTCAGGGCATCCCAGAGCCCCAAGAGTTCTCCATAAATTCAGCTTCATGAACATCATCTTTCCCAGGCTTTTCTAGAGTGCCTGGGTAAAGAAAGCCTATAGCATCTGCAATATTCTGTGCCCAGAACCATGGAGTCCTTTTGATGGTTCTACTCTAGAGAACAGGTGGGTCACCAGTCTAGATTTTGCCTCTTTTTCTGGATTTTTTTTTTTCTGGGTATGACAGGACCTAATTTGGTGTCATGTGACTTCTAGGGTGATGAGGATAACAGGCAAATCTCACCCTGGAATGCTTTCAGTGGCCTGTTGCAAAGCAGAAAATGGACTTCTTCACCAGCAGGAGAGGTTCCATGTGACACCCTCCCTCCCTCCCTCCCAGTGCTTCTCGTGTGCTTCAGTAGCACTTCCCTGTTTGCACCCACTTACGGACACATCATCGTGTCCGCACCCCCAGCCCTGTGTCTGTGCTCATGCTCTCACCTTTATAGACCCCCTCAGTGGTTCTCTGATTTCATACAATATCCAGATGTCACAGGCAAAGCTTTCTTGTACCATTCCTTACCAGCTCTTTCTTGGCTCTCATGCATCTTTATCAGTGGGTGGAGAAGCTTTCTCTTGCCCTCAAAAATAACAGCCAAATAACCGTTCCTTTGTCATTTGTCATGTGTTAATCGGGCAAACATTTGTTGAGTACCTGCTGTTTGCTGGTACTGGGGTTAGGAAGATGAGTAACAACACACAGCCTACAGCCCCAGGGAGCCCCTTTTCTAGTAAGTGGAGACGGACTCCTAAACAGAGAGCATCAAAACCTCCTGGTAAGTGTCTTGCTGGGGCCAGAGTAGGTCAAAGCAGCTTCACCGACTTTAATATTAGAGGCCCTTCAAAAGAGGCCAGGTGTTGGCCGGCTGTGTGGGAGAAGTTGGCATTGGCTGGGCAGAAAAGGGAAGGAAGAGTGGGTACTTCAGATGGAGCGCTGTTGGCGTCCCTTTTTAATAAAAGGGTAAGGCATTCCTTGAATTTTCACTAGAACATACAATAAGCAGTTTAAAATATTTTCTGTTCAAGGCTGTTCTTATAAAACTTATGTGGTTTTTAGAAATGTGTTGTCAGTGTGGCAGCAAGGGATCCTGTTGACTTGAATTATTCCCATGATTGTGAGATGTCTTCAGATGATCTTGGAACCTTAATACTGAGGAGCCCAAATTCTAATTGAAGGAATGATTAAATGATTGTAGTCAATAAGATCATTGTGGTGGTTGCTTATTTAAAACAGTACTTACTTTTTTTTTCTCCTGTTTTCATCCAAAAAAGGAAAACATTAAATGTTTAGCTTAAAATCTTAAATATATATTTAGATTAGTTTTGTCTCATTAGTCCATACTGTAATATAAACCAGTAGAGAGTTATTTACTTTTGGGTATATTTTTTTGTAATGGGAAGAAAGATGTTGAACATTTACCTGAGGAAAGTTTTAAATCGATGTTACTGCTTTTGAAATGGATCCATTTTTATGTGACTGTTAAATGACAACACTTACATTTAATAGAAATATTAGATACAGGGATTTTACTTTTTATTATAAAGGAAACAAGCACACCCATAAAGGGCAGCATGTACTTTCAACAGATTTTACATTCTAGAGTAGTAACGGAATGCATGTTCAGTCTGGGTAATAAATGAATCATTTCTTGTCAAATAAAAAGACTTGTCTTTTTTTAAGGTTATGAGAAGACAGATGAAGTTTCAGAGAAGACCTCGCTGGCCGATCAGGAGGAAGTCAGGACTATATTCATCAACCAGCCCCAGCTGACAAAATTCTGCAATAACCATGTCAGGTAGGGACTCCTGCAGGACACTAGAGCAACATCAGAGCAGCGCTGCAGGTCGGAATGGAACCACTTGCAAAGAGCCTCAGTTCAGTCAGTTAGTTCTTGAGAGCCTCTCACCAGCAGGAATAGGTTGTTTCTCCATCTTCTGTCCAGTAAAGAAGTGTTAATAACAATCTTGAAGTACGAAGGAACAGAAAAGATCAGAACCCTTGTTCTGCCAATTCTGTATGGAAGCTGATCATGTGTAAATGTTCTAAGCCTATGACTAGAGCAGATGTATTATTTATTTATTTTTGGTTAGCAAGTTTTAGCATTTCAGGAGAGATCTTTGCCATTCTGCACCAAGAAAACTCTAACCCCAACCCACAGCAAATCTAAATCTAAAAATTTAAAGAAATATTGTTTTTTGATAGTTGAGGGATACAGCATGCTGCTAGAGGGTGGAGGAATTGCGAGAATGACTTCACTGTAGTGATAGCTTTCCATTGCCAACAATCATGTAGAAAGTATTAGTGTAAGCAAAGTCGCTGAGAGACCTCTTGGTCCACATGAATACCCCCAGTGCTGGCCTATGTTTCTCTGGTGGCAGAATTTCTAGATTCGAGATGTGCCCATTTAAACTAGTATTTGCAACTTCAAATTCTTGAGTAACATTTCTCAGTTTGGGGAGTATGGCACAGGTCTACTTTAATCTCTCTTCTGTTTTATAACCAAGACAAAGCTCTGGATGTTTCCAGTACACTATCTTATCTCAAGTTGCTCTTTATAAACTATTCCTAGTGCTGTTAAGCAGGGTGATTGGCCAAAGAGAACAAATGATATTATGCAGAAGAGAAAGCCTATGGTTTTCTCTTTACTATTGACTTAGCCATCTCCTCTCACACTTTTTCATCTAAGTTAATAACCCTTTGCAAGATTTTTTTCAATTGGAAACATTGAGCAAATGTTCATCTAATTGTGTGTGTGTATGTGTGTGTATGTGGTGGTGGTAATGGAATTTTGTAAATGTGTGTGCTAATTGTGGAGTAATCAATTTCTCTGCTACTTTTCATTTTTGTTTTCTAGCACTGCAAAATACAACATAATCACATTCCTTCCAAGATTCCTCTACTCTCAGTTCAGAAGAGCTGCTAATTCATTTTTTCTCTTTATTGCATTGCTTCAGGTAAAGTCACATCATAAAACCTTAGTTCAAAGTTAAATGTTCAGGTGTTAATATATGTATTTGTGGAGCCCATGACCAGTCCCCTGAGACTTAGCTGAAAGTAGAGAGGAAGGCTGGTCTGGATGGACATTTTCCTGCTACTGCTGCAAGCAGGACCAGAATTTCACCGCCTCTTCAAGCCTTTTGCTTCATTTTTATCACCATGTTTAGGTGTTCTGTAAATTCAATGTGGAAAGAACTATTCATTTTAAGTGGTATAGAGGCATGAAACTTTTTCCTAAAATTTTACTTTAGTTTTATAGCATTGAAAGTGTCACTTCTGAACTTTAGAATGTAAAAACCTCTTTCAGAGTTAATTATAACTGATTGTTTTAGAAAAAATTGTTTTATTAAAAAGTAGCAGTAGATATCCCTCTAGTCTTTTATTCCCCCTCCAAGCATTATATATTGCTTTAGATAACAAAAAAAGGATCATATAGCACACATTGTTTTATAGTCTGCTTTATATGCATAATAATATGTGAACATTTTCCTAGGTATTCGCTGTGCTTCTCAGATGCCATTTCTAATTGTTATAAAATATTTTACCACATAACTATGCTATTATTTATTTAACCAACCCCCCATTGTAGGTTAGCCTGTATGCAATATGCTTGTCATAAAGCTCATTAATATGTTTTTCTAACTACTTGTTAGATAAAAATACACTGCCTCACCCAGTGTTAGTCTGCCAAGATAGTAGAACAAATGAGGCATGTTTTAGAAGTCACTAATACTTTGTTGTTTTTAGGTTTAGTATAAACTTTTTGAATCTCATTGGATTTCTCTTGCTTTTTTTTTCTTTTCTTTAAATAGCAAATACCTGATGTGTCACCAACAGGTCGTTATACAACACTGGTTCCTCTCTTATTTATTTTAGCTGTGGCAGCTATCAAAGAAATAATAGAAGATATAGTAAGTATTTGAATTTTTTTCACTAATGTGACTTGTGTGTATATGTTTGTATACAGAAGTGTTTTCTTAAGTTATTTAATTCATGACACAGGCTGTAATTTATGCTCATTCAGTTTAGCAATGTATGGAATATATTCCCATCCCTGAAGTTAATTCTTAATAGATTAGATTAGTACTGAGGCATGCTCCTTACAATATTAGCTTATGTTTATAGGTTAGTAATAAAATAGTTTGAATGTAATAATTGGCATAAACTGGAAACCATCCTTGAGCATTGTTTTCAATTAAATGAAGTCGCCTCAAAGTTATCTAAATATAGTTTTTTTTTTATTCTTTCACTTTTAGATTTAAATACCATAGTTTCTGCCTTATTAAATGCCTTTGATTCTTTCACATCTTATTTTAGTAGTTCTCAATTTCCTTTTCCTTTATCTTATTTTATTACAGTAACAGAAAATTGGCTATTTTTAGCATTCTGTAGTAGTAGAGAAAAGGGGAAGTCAGTTTCCCTTTTGTAAAATAAATTCCCCCCAAATAAATTTGATCTTTTTTTTTTTAAGTCTATAGTTTTAGCATTTTCAGTAGTGACTTAGTAGAATATAGTTTCCTATTTTTATGTGTAGGTAACAAGTGGCATATATACTTATTTTCAAATACTCTTAAACTGATGGAGAATTTTAAAAACAAAAGTTATATCATGTCAGCTGCTAAGTAGTGAGAAGGTGTTTATAAAGCTTCAATTTAATATTTCATAAGCATTCATTTCTGTAACAGCATTTCATTAATATTATTAAAAAGAAAACATGAGCCACAGCATCACTAGGGCCATTGGAAATGGGGCAACTAAACATTTAGATCAGCAGTCTCGAAAGCATCTGAGAGTGTAAGAGAAGATTTGGCGTGTGTGCGTGCATATGTGTAGGACAGCAGAGTCCCCTTATTTGGAAATGATGCACTGCACTGGGACCCCTAGTTGAGAAATTTAAGGGACTCTCTTCTGGCTTATATTGATCCATGCAGACTTTGCATCCTTTAAACTATGGTTGGATTTGACAGTTTGCAGGGATTAGAAGTTTAAACTCTTTCATCACCTTATGTACTCACTTTTCTGATTTTGTTTATTCTAATTTTTATGGAGTACCTGTTTTTTCCTAGACATTGTGCTATTATTTCTGCTAATGTGATTTACATTTAGTTCCCTAAATAATTTTGAAAGTTGTATATTAAACTCCATTAAAGATAAGGAAAACTGAGGCTTAGGAAGATCCTATATCTTGTCCAAGCAAGTGGTGGAATTAGAACACCGTTTCATGTAATGCTCTTTGCGCTATGTGGAGAACATGATTGTGGAGAGTCACCAACAATAACATAAATAACATTTTTGTGCTTCTGGGTTCCACATATTTGTACTGTGTTCTTTATTAAATCTTATAACAGCCCTTTAAGGTATGATTGATCTTATCCCCATTTTGCAGATGAGGAGGAACAGAGGACAAGGTAATTTGTCCAGGGTCAAGCAGCTAATGACTGGGACTGCTAGATTTCAAACAAGGCTTTTGAGTCTGCATTTCTGCCTTATGAGCACCCTTCTAAACTGCTTCCCTTAATTTAGGTTGTTGTTGTTTTGTTTTTTTGGTTCCCTAGCAAAGTCATAAGCTCTCTAGCTATGTTCTAGTACCCCATCTTTGAAAATACATGGTAAATAAAATTGTATTTGACAAATAATTTTAAATAGAACTCTTATTGGCAATAATATGAGCACTGTTAGAAAGCAACTAATCAATCAGACCCTGAGAAATATAGTAATAGTATCATTAGGTACTAATAATGGCGTAGGAGGTACTTTTTAGTGAAATAGGTGTTAAAATATTAACTAAAATTTACCTGTAAGAATATCTAATAAGAAGTTTGTAATGTTTAAAAGTTTAAGCTTGAAATATCATTCTCTAGAAAAAGAAAAATATAAGTGATAGTCGGACAAAAAGCTATCTTTATCAGAAAATATAATGAATATATATACATATATATTCATGCATTCTTTCAACAAAACCAAGCAAGCATTCATTAGGATATACTTCAGGATGTGCTAAATGTTTGTGTGGTAATAAATCATGTTCCAAACATTAGAGGTTTAGTGCATGAATCTTTTGCACTTACTCAAAGACACTGCACGTTGCTGGGAGAATGGAGGGCAGGAGGTGCCCCTGTTCCAGATAGTTCTTCAGGAGCACAGTCTGAATGGAGGTTCTGCTATGTGGAATGTCAGTGGTCATTGGAACAGGAAAGGGGACAGGGAGTGGAACTCTCACATCATACATGTTTTGGCTCCTAAGTGGTGTGCATCACATCTGCTTACAGCCCAGGATTAGAAATAGTGTTATGATAATGAGGAAGGGAATGTTATCCACCCCCCATCCATGGAAGTAGAGAACAGAATGTCTGTGAAGGTTAGTAATGTCCTCCACTCACACCTCAGTGAATAAGACAGAGCTTGTGGTCTAGTAAATCTTCCTTTATATGCTATTGAACAAAATTTTTAAAAATTTTAGAATAAAGCATAGTAAGATTGTCTACTAGTGAGACACTTAAGACATCCATCCCAATGTATTTTAACTCTTGATGCTTTTAACAGCTTAGTATAATACAGTTTCCTATTTTTATGTGTAAGTAACAAGTGGCATGCATACTTATTTGAAAATACTCTTAAATTGTTGGAGAGCTTTAAAAACAAAAGTTATATCATGTCAACTGCTAAATCTTTTGGAAATGATCAGTTGTTTGTTAAATTGATAGCAAAGAAGGAATGTTTTTAGTAGTGACTATCAACTTGTTAAACACTTGTAGACTTTATTCATTATAAAAATGGATACTTATTTTGAAGTCTATGGTATGCAAGGACCAAAAGTTAGTGACTAAAAGTAGCCTTGATGGAGCTTATAATCCAGTAGAGAAGATGGATGTTAATCAAGTAATCATATTGGGCTATTATTATAGAAGAATGTGCAGTAAGTCCTTAAAATAATGCCTAGTGTATAGTAAACAGTAAGCGGATGTTAGCTATATTGTCATCATTCAAAGATCCTTTTGGTTAAACAACAAAAAATGAATTGGAAGGAAAATTCAAGAAGACTAGTTAGAAGAATATTCTAGTAGTTGGTATAAAAAATGAAAATATGTTAGACTAAGTGATATTGTAGAGATCGTGAAAAGCAGTAAAAGGAAGTCATTACACATTCAAAAGTAAACTTGACCAGACTGATCACTGCCCAACATGCTACATACCCTACTTATTTTCATTCATATTCTATCAGTCTACAGCCAGTAGAGTATAAGTCCCGTGAGAAGGGAGGGGCTCTGGCTCATGTGTTTTTGTGTGTCCTTAGCAGTTGTTAATGAGACCTGGCACATAGTGTTTAGTAAATATTTATTGAATGAAGAAAGAGGTTGGGCAGGGGCAAGAAGAAGAAGAAGGTGCAAGGACAACTCTCAGGGTTCCAGTTTGTAAAAATAAGTGGTGTGTGGTTCTATGCTGAGTCAAGGGTGAAGGTCCCAGGCTGCCTTGTGGACAGTTTGAGATGCCTTTGAGACTGCCAGAGAGAGGTGTCTAGGAGGCAAATGGGTGTGATGATGTGGACTCAGATGAGTGTCTTGCTGGTGTATACTTTCATTTTAGAATGAGTTAAGCCAGAAAACAACTTAGAGAAGTGATGAAGGCTGGGGAGTAAGCTTGACCAACTGAACCCCGTCCCAGAACAATGAGCAAAGAGACCAGAAGGCCTCAAGTGCACCTGGAAAACCTAGGCAGTCATGTGGTAAGATATGCCCAGGTTTGGCTTCAGAAGAGGAATTCTGATCACTTTCTTAGACAAGTTCTATGACCTCTCAAAGCCTTAGCTTCCTTACCCTTAAGAGGATTTAACAGAACTCTCAAAGTTTTTGAGGGAATTAAATGAAAACAAAACAAGATCAGCATTGCAAAATTGAGTATTCTAAAGTTCATAATACTTATTATGATCCAGTTAATGGCATACTTTCAGTCACACGTCGTTGATAATGTTAAATAATTCACTATCTTTCACTAATATTAAATGAATTTTGGTTATAAGACAGTAGACTTATTTGAATTCAGAAAATGTCTTTTTTCTAAACTCTTAGTTTTAGAAGGAACAATGATCTCTTTATGATACACAGTAAGATGCTTTCTCTTTGTAGTCACAAGATTAGACTCTGGCTAAATGCTTATGTATATTCAGCACATTTCTTTCTTGATAAGTAACCTAACTTATTCCTCGGAGGGAAGGCTAAGAGAGAGATGCTCCAGTGTGAGAATTCTTTGCAGGTGGAAAGTCATGTTTAGGATCATCTTAGGTTTCACTAAGATTAAATTTCCTGTTTGAAGTGGAATGTTTCATTAATTAGCTTTTATTTGTCTCCTTCAGTTGAAAGTCTAACCATTGCCTATCATCTATTGTACATTATTTTGGAAATATTTATACCTCTTTTGAATATCTAAATTTTCCTCGGACTGTTATTTTGAACCAAATTTACCTTTGATTGCTTTCTAACATTCTTAGAATCTTTATTAACAAAGCAACACACAAAAATGAACCTTTTTGTAGTTTTACAATTATATTCTCTACTGTTGCTATAAGTTTAATAGAACTTCAAGAAATAATTTAAGATTAGTTTCTGGCAAACTAGACTTTCTTTGGGAAGCAGTAATATGCCTATTAAAGGTTGACAAGAATATACTTTTATTAGTGAGTATTTTATGCTGAGAAAGACTTGTAGTGTGTTCCTGCATATGGATTTGGTAAGAATCATTTTCAACACTTTCCACAGAGGAGTTTTAAATGCTCTGTTTACATTTTGTGCAGTTCAATGATGATTGATTGGATGAACCAAGTTTATGCGGCCAGTTATTATTCCACTTCTCCAGGTTGTTGCTGGAACTCAGGATACTGATCTACCACTCTACACTTTTCTCTTGGAGAGTTTTCATGTATGCACTGAGATTACAAAAACCTTGTTATTTTTTTTTTCTCATATGGAAAACTTTGGAACTCTCTTGTTTTATATTTGTCCCAGCTTCTGTGGTAGTCGGTCATTCACAGCCAAGTTTGACTTTGGGCTTCCTATGATAGGATCTTTGAGCAAAGAGTTAGTTACACTCAGCACTTTCCTGCAGCATTAACAGAGTCTGATGTGTTCTGCTTAATGCTTGCTGTAAGTTTCAACAGAAGCCAGAGAAAACCTCCTCTTGCCACTTAAATTCTCACCTTTTCTCAGACCTCTGTTCCTTTTTTTTTTACCCACTGCTATAAACCCTTGGCTGATGTAACCCTTAAAATTCACCTGCCTGGACTTAGATTACCTCACCTGTTAGCCATTTAATTTTGTAGGTGCCTCTGGGACAAAAGAAAAGAGGACCCTATGATTATGGTCACACGTGGTTGTGGGGGAGGTTGGAAATCCGTGATGAGAGGAGGCTGTGTGAAAGTCGTAGACGTATTAGGTTCTAGTCACTGACAGACATCAGCACATCATTAAATTATAGAGGATATTGTACTCAGCTTAATTAGATAATGAATTTCATAAGAAGCTGAAAATATTACAATACTATTATTAAATGGTAGCTATTATAGATAATTCTCCCAGGCAATTTTTTTAAGTGAGTTATTTAAGCACAAGACTAAATCAGACTTCCAGTTCCAATTGTTCTTGTACATTAAAAGTCTATTCTGTGCTTATGTAAGATCCTTCTGAGGACCACAAACCTGTGCTGACTATGGAGGAGCACTGTGTAATGATTCTGTTACTAGTGCTTTCGGATTTAAAGTTCC